CTAGTTCAAATTCTTGACAAACACTGCACAAGCTAGCAGTTCACACGGGCAGCTGGATTCTGCCTGTTTTGAATCCTTGGGCCAGTACCCCAACCCTTTGGGTTCTCATCTACCTGGAACTGACCTCCCCTGTGGGCTGGTGTCCCTAGGGTGGTGGTCTCAGTAGCATGCATGTGTCACAGAGCAACAGCATGGAGCTGGCTTAAGTAAAAACAAAAGAGGTTTCCGGAGGGTCAGAGATGGTCCGCACCGGGAAAATGGCCAAATTCCAGGGTGAAGATGGCTGTTCCGCTGGACAGTGAGAAAGAAAACATTTTGTACAGTTGGAGCAGGAACTGAAAGTTATGAATCATAATTGGCTGAAAGACCATCAGGGGAGCCCAAGATGGGGTATCTGAGAGCAGGAACTTAGCAGGGACAGGTGGGTGACACAAGTGGGATTCAGGTTATTACAGGATGGTCATAGGACAGTGGCAGGACACGTTTCTTGGGTAAGCTGCTATACAAATGGCTTTGTCAACCACATCTGTTTCTGGCATTGGTTGTAAAGATTGACCAAGCATGTTGTGAATCACCACCTTTTGGGCAGAAAGACCCTCTGGGAACGGACTGACCTTCCTGTACCTCCCAGACCTCCAAGAAAGAAGAAAACTCCTTTAGGGTATCTGGCCACCACCAAGGTCAGAGGAACTGCTGTTAGAAAAGGCAGCTTTAAAGTGCAGCATGGATTTGACTCATGGCAAGACTTCAAAACACAGTTAAGAGAACTGTACTTACACACACCAAGCAGCTCTGACTTTAGACTCTTGTACATGTGTGTGGCCACCCCTGGGGCTCTGGGCCAGTGAGGGATGGCCTGCGAGAAGAAAGGCACAGTTGTTAGGGAATGGGAGCTTCTTCACTGGGATTTTGGACTGTTTGCTCACCAGACCCAGAGAGTGGGAGTTGCAGGGTGCTTGCATTTAACTTACACCAGTTCCTACAAACTGGGAGAAAAGAGTCCCAAGAGATAGAGGACCTGCCGTGGTGTGTTTGAGCCTCCATCATCTGTGACGGGTCTTCATGAACTTACTCCCTCACAACACTCGGTGGGCCTGGCAGATTCTTGAGATAATCATGGTGGTATGATTTGGCCCCTGAGTGGCTCCTGGTTTGGCCATTTCCCACCGTACAGCTGAGCCACCCCTTAAGGAGACCCAGGGACAGTGACTTCACCTCCTCCTGTGCCAGCTCTCTTTTGAGCAGTTTCCCAGATGCCCCAGAGAACACATCTGTGACCATCTCACTAAGCAGCACTCGACCACAGAACTTCCCCTTGCTGCGGGGAGGCTGGGAAACGGTCTTGTTAGCTGGGTGCATTGCCAGCCTGCGTACAGCTGGGGCTCTGTACCTGAGAGGGAAGAACGGATGGAGGCAGGTCAGCAGTGCCTGCCACGTAAGAGATGTGTGTCGTAATTCAGTGTCGGATTGCTCCCTGCAAATGGACACTGCTGCCAGCCCCGCGCCAAAACGCGTTTCCTCAGCCCTCACCAATCCGGTGGCTGCAAGATCAAATGCCGTCTGATCTCAGAGCTGAGGAGCACATGAGAAGCGCCGTCTGAGGTGGAACACGGGGTGAAGACTTCTCACCTGTGTGTTCTCTCATTTCCAGACAAACGGGGAACATCAATCCTGTGGTCCTGCCCCTGCTGTGGTTTGAAGAGGTAAGGCTACCCCACTTCCCTCACCAGGTACCTCTGGGCAGGTGTCGGGTACCTGTTGAGGAGCCAGTGAGGATTAGAGACTTCCCACGTTGTCCTGGACTTGGTCAGTTGTCCCATTGAGTTGGAAGGATCATGATTTGGGGAAGACAGGAGATGTAAGAAGAGGTGAGGCCCTGACCCGGGATGTGAGGTACTGTTTTGTCAATCTAGACGACCACTTCTGCTGAGAGATGGGGAGCTGATTTTCAGGGTGTCACCTTTTCACCTGAACTTTCTTCTCCCCCAGCTTTTCAGGTTTCCTCCTAGCCTAGCCCATTTTTTTTCTGTTGTTTTTAAAATTTGGGTGAAAGTTTACAAAACAAATTCATTTTCCACACAGCAGTTCATATACGTTTTGTTTCATGACATTGACTGTAATTCCTCACAATGTAACAGCTCTCTTCCCACCTCCTCCCTGTAGTTACCTGTTACCTGAGTCCTTCTCTCCTATGCATTCCTGCCCCCTGAGCTGTCTCCCTGTGAAAACACTACCCTTGTGTTCTCCCATGATTGATTGCTCTAAGGAGTGTATCTGCCTGATGTAAATGTTCACCCTGTATGCCTGTGTGTTGTTTGTCTGGAAGCCACAGGAGCGAGTTCAGTTCCAGACCTGAAACTAGGGGTCATAGTCTCGGGGGTCTCACCAGGCTCTAACAGCCCACTAAACCTGGCCTTTTTTTTATGAGTTTTAAGTTTTGTTATAGATTTTGTTTTCCCACTCTATCCAGGATCTCCTGCACTAATCCCTTTCCAAGTGGTTGACAGTGGTAGCCGGGCACCATCGAGCTCTTCTCGTCTCCTGGTCATACAGGCTGAGGCTCACATGGTCCACTACTCCATGTGTCTTTGGTTTTCTTCGTTCTTCTTTGCTCCAGAAGAGGAGAGACCCATCATTGCATCTAGATGGCCACTTGCAAGCTTTTAAGATCCCAGTCATTACTTGCCAAAACAGGATGTAGAACAATGGTTTTGTGTACTTTGTTGAGTTTGATATCCCTGTCACCATGGTCCCGAAGCCCACAGGTCCAACTACTTGCTCCCTCAGAGTGGTTGGCTGTGGCCAAGAAGTTGTCATAACTTTGCTCCTTGTTAGCTCTGCTATATATTGGGACATTCTTACAGAACACACAAATATGTATGTACAAATATCATCTTCCAGTCTTACATATGGTTGTGGGTATATTCCCTTTTGCCTAGACATAGCTGGTCATCCAGCCTGTCTACCCATCTATTTATGCATAGTTTAATGTTTGTTACCACTGATAAGACAGCATTGTATATGTAAAAGGGTTTATCTTTGTTGTCAGTACCTCCTGTGCACCTCTGTGTCTTCCTTTTCCTTAGTGTTATTGTGTTCGTCACTTGCTTTTGGTATATTGCCTTTCCCTTCACCCAAATCAATACTTGTCTCTACCCATCGAGCAGTTTTCCCTCCCCTCCCATCCCTGGTAACCAACAAAGAAAGCTTCCTTCCATATAGAAACCTTTCCTTGACTTTTTACAATAGTGGACTAATACAGTATTTGTCCTCCTGTGATTGACTTATTTCACTCAGCATAATGTCCTCCAAGTTCATCCACCTTATGCGGTGTTTCACAGATTCTATGTTATTCTTTAGTGTTGCATAGTAGTCCATTGTGTGTATGTACCATAGTTCGGTTATCCATTCTTCCGTTGATAGACACTTAGGTTGTTTCTATCTCTTTGCTGTTGTGAATAGTGGTGTGATGAACATGGGCGTGCAAATATCTGTTCTTGTCCTGGCTCTCACTGCTTTAGGATATATGTCTAGTAATAGAATTACTGGATTGAATGGTATTTCTAGTAACAATTTCTTAAGGAATCCTGGCCTAGACCATTTCAAGCATTTCAAGACGGTGTGAGCTAAGGGGCAGACTTGATATGCCAGGCCCCGCCCATCCTCTGGACCTGTTCTCCGTCCCGCTCCCGGCGCCCTCCTCCCACGTCCTTAGAGCGCATCTCTATTCAGTGGAGGTTTTCATAGGCCAGGCCTGGAGGGCGTCTATGTCACTCCCAATATCCTATTGGTCAGAACCAGCTGCAAGTGCTTCTGGGAAATGTAGTCTCAGCGTGTCCCGGAGGTAAAGGAGGCTCGGGCTGGCTCCATCCCCGGCTCTGGCTAACTTGAGATGGGCGCGGGCTGAGGGCGGGGCCGAGGGCGGTGGTGGGGTTGCCCCCAGCCCACCGGCCGGCCGTTCCCCACCCCCCCAGAGTGGCGCGATGGAGGGCGACACCCTGACAGCGTTCTACACGCAGCTCGTGCTGCTTCCCGAGGTGCTGCACTACGCCCAGTACGTGCTGCTCGCCCTGGGCTGCGGCCTGCTGCTCATCCCCGTTGTCTACCAGATCCGGAGCCAGGTAGGTGGTGCCGGAGCGCGGCGTGGGCCGGCGGCCTTTCCTTGCTTGCCGGGGAGCGGGCTCGGCCGTCCCTTCCTCCCCCGGCCGCCCGCAGCCTGGCGCCCCCTCGGGCAGCGGGCGGGCGAGCCCGGCGTTCCGCCCCCTCGGCCTCTGCCTTCTCTGCATCCTGCTTCGTCTCTTCTCTGCCTCCGCTGGGCGGCCTGGGAACACTCGCTTGGAGGGGCTGCAGGCGGATTGAGGCGGCCGAGACCTGCTCCTTGTCTCTGCTGGGCGCATTTGTCCGTGGAGCGAGCACCTGCTGGGTGCCGGGCCCTGGAAACATACAGCCATGTTGGGGGTGGGCTCAGTGCTAGTGGGGAGACAGACGAGAAACAAGGAAAGGGCAAGGGGCATTCCACGGATCACGCAGACTACAGAAACACGGTGCGCGAGAGCGGTGTCCGGAGTCATGCAGCCGGAGCCCCGTGTGTGGTTTGTAATTTCCTAGTAGCCACGTTAAGGAGCTCTGTGGCCTAGTGGCTAAGGTACTGGGCTGCTAACAGGAAGGCCAGCAGTTCAAACCCACCAGCTACTCCGCGGAAGGCACTACTTCTGTAAAGATTTACCCCCTGGGAAACCCCCAAGGGGGTCACTATGAGTTGGAATCAACTGGCAGTGAGTTTGGCTGTTTTGGTTTTAGTAGCCACGTTAAACAAAGCAAAAAGAAGTGAAATTCATTTTAATCACGTTGTATTTAACCTAAATATATAAAAATACTACCATTTCAACGTGGAATCAGTATGAAAAACATAAATGAGGTATAGTGCATTTTTCAGTATTACGTTTTTGAAGTCCAGTGTGTATTTTATACTCACAGCATGTCTCAGTCCTGACCAGTCCCATTGCAAGCATGCTATAGCCACATGGGGCTTATGGTGACCGTATTGGACAGTGGAGTGCCCCAGGGCAATAGGGACAAGAAGGAGTGTCAGGAAAGGCTTGTCTGAAGAGGTAACATTTAAGCTTAGATGTGACTGCCAAGGAGCTCCTCAGCATAGAAGCCATAGAAAGAGTGTTCCAGGCAGTGGGTACGGGCAGTGCAAAGGCCCTGCGGCAGGGATGAGCGTGACACACTGGAAGATAAGACTCAGGGCCAGAGTGGCTGGAGAGCAGTGAGCACAAGGGAGAGAGAGGAAGGAGGTGGTGTCTGAGAGGAGGACGGGAAGATCGGCCAGAGCTTGTAATGCAGGAGCTTGGAATTGATGTCCAGGAATGACAGGATTTTAAGAAGAATAGTCGGATTGGGCTGCTGTGTGTTGGGCTGGAGTTGGGAGGGGTGGAGCACGGAGACCAGTGAGGAGGCCCAGTGATTGAGTGATTGGACCAGAGTGGGGGTGGCTTCTCTTGGGGAGGGGTGGAGTTGGAAAAGAGCTCTGATGAGCTTGGGGACATCCACCCGTTAGAGGCAGGAAGAAGAGGGGGAGATGACAAATTCCCCTTCTTGATTTGGGGCTGTTCGTTCCCTCAGTCATCGTGACATTCATTGACAAATGCATACCAGGCAGCTTACTTTTTGTGAGGCTCTGTAAAATCTGGGGGATACAGAAGTGACTGGAATATGAGGTCTAGAGACTGTGGGCAGACAGACCTTTAAGCAAATGACTGCAGTCGCACAGTGACAAGGGCTGTGATCAGGGCCTACGGTGGTAGGCAGGGTGGTTGACTTCAAGTGCAAGAACCAGAGAGCCATTGCAGGACTCCTGGAGCATCCTGGAGTAGCGGGGAGGTGTCCAGGGTGGTTGGAGCGCCGGCCATGTCTCTCACGGCCCTTGGGCGGTCTTGGAGCTTTCTTCTTAGCTTTAAGCTTTGCCACACCAGCCTCTTCTCTTTCTCCTCCTTTGGAGGACGCTCATGTGCACGCCTGCTTGCTTGCTGGGGCAATAAGAGACCTTTCTAGACTCTTAACCTGGACTCCTAGAACCTGAGGCAGGCTTCCCAATTCCCGCATCCTCTGGGGGAGAGGTTTCCACTAGATGGGGGTGCCAGGGCCCCACCAGCCCTAGCTGTGGTCACGTCACTATCTTTAGTGTTTGAGTCCCTGTGAACGTTCGGTCCACCTGCCTGGCTGGGCGTCCTCTTGGCTGCCGCCCCAGTGAGAGCCAAGACAGAGCTGGGTGGGAGTGGTGAGCGTGAACCGCTCCCTGATTGGGTTATACCTCAGGGCGGAAAGGACTGACCTCCCTGGGCACAGCATCAACATGAAGACTCACGCAGCGCACGCGGGGGCGCTGGGGGGCAGAGTCGGGAGAGTAAGACAGCCTTTCTCGGCCCTTCTGTCTCCTAATCTCCCATCCAGAGGACAGAGCCCCAGGGGCGAAGGGAAGGAGCTGGCTAGGTCCCCCTTCCCTGCCACACCCCCAAATCAGTATCCCACCCTGAATCCAGTGAGAACACTATTATTTCCACCGATAAGGTGGTTGACGCTCTGCTTCCTGTAGGTTTCAGAGACCAGATGCTGGAACTGTGTCCCACTGGCTTCTCTGGCTTAACAGGGTTAGACCTTGGTGGGTTTTTGCATTTGTCTGGATTAAGGGAAAAAAAAAAAAAAAAAGAATCACACACCTGTAAACTTCATCATGTTTCTTAAGTTCTCTTCTATTCAAGCCATTCATTAAAGAAAAAAAAAAAAATCAGAGTTGTTTTAGCAGGGAGATCTGCCGGTCCAACGTGGCCCAGCTGTGCCCCGTACTCCTCCCTACGGCCTGGCTTTACAGGTGGGCAGACCCTTTTCAGCTCCGCCTGACCATCCATCTGAGCATGTTTCCCAAACGTGCTTTCATCTCTGTCTCTGGTGAAGGACAGCAAACCCCCAAATCGCAGCCGACTCCAGTTATTACCAGCCAATCATTAGCAGCCGTTGGGCCCTGAAATTCCACACCCTCCTGTCTTCCTCTTTGCTCTCTGAAAACTGACGAACCATGTGGAGCCTTCGGCTGCAGTGTCAACTATACATTAGCTTGGTTGTCTTCTAGGAGAAGTGCAATCTGTTGTGGAGTAGTAGTAAAAAGAGCTCAAAGGATACGGAGGCCATTCAGGCCTATTCGGAATCCTTGATGACCTCACCTCCCAAGGGCACGGTGCTGCAGGAAGCAAAGCTGTAGGTGGGTACCAGGTAACGGGTACCCCCTCTCGTAGTGAGTAGAACCCTCGCAACTTGCCACACCTTGGATCGCACACATTTCTTCAACCTCAGCTTTCCCTGGAGTGTCTATAGACTTCAAACACACATTTGTTAATTTCACTTTGGGAGAGAAGGCCTTCTTACATTCAGAGTGAATTTTACCGGAAGCCTGGCAGGAGATGGGGGTCCCTGTTCTGCTGGCTGGCATCTCATTTACAAGGTTGTAGCAGGAAGGTGAAGGAGCTCCGGGGGCACAGTGGGTAAGTGCTGGGCTGCATAGAGGAAGGTCTGTGGTTCAAGCCCATCACCTGCACCTCGGGAGAGAGATGTGGCCATTTGCTTCTGTATGTAGCCTTGGAAACCCTGTGGGGCGGTGCTGTCTGGCCCGTAGTCTAGCTCACTGTGAATCAGAAGCGACTCAGAGCTGTGAGTAGTAGGAAGGAAGGGTTCAAGTTTTACACCTGCTGCTTCTGAAGCCTCTTGTACCTTTGAACGAGACCTTGACTTCTGGGGGAAGTGTGCTGAGAATGTGGATCCCTAGACAGCTCCTGGAAGAGAATCGTGGGGGGCCTAGGAGTCTGCGTCGTAATGGACCCTCTTGGGGATTCTAATGTAGATAGTCCAGGGACACCCTTTTTGGGAAACATAGGTCCAAATATTGGGTGCCTGGCCAAGAAAAAAGAATTTAGACATCCATGGAGCACCAGCTGTGTACCCAAGACTTGGCAAGAAACCAAACAGCAAAAAACAAGGATGCCCAATTAAATCTGAATTCTGAGTGAACAGCAAATAATTTTTTAAAATTTATCTTTGGTGGCAGTATACACACCAAACGCATCCATTCACCACTTCCACACAGGTAGTTGTGGGCACTGCTCACTCCCTTGACATTGGGTCACCATTCTTGCTGTCTGCGCTCATGCTGTTCTGTCACCATTAATGTAGACTCTTTGGACCTTAAAGGTCTCACCTGTGCTTAGATTCACGGTTGTCAGTTTGAACCCATCTAGCGAACTCTTCGCAAAAGCAGCATGCTTGAGGCACACATTCTTTATTAATGGAGCTAAAGTGTTGCTTAGTTTAATGATGGCTTCTTGGAGTAGTTTTGGTTCAAGACTTAAAGATTACTTCTGGGCAATACAGTCTGGAGTCTGCCCAATCTCAGTGGATCTAGTAAGTCTGGTTTCCATATGAGTTGGGAGTTCTGTTCCACACTTTCCCTCCTTTTGATCAGGCTCCCTCTGTTGGGCACTTGATCAAAAGCGTTCAGTAATGGTAGCCGGGCACCACCCATTTCATGGTTACGGTCACCAGGCAGTGAGACCTGCGGTCCGTCTTCCCTGTGTCCTGGGCCGGCTGCTTTCATTCCTCGGCTGTTCCAGGCGAGTGGAGACCCGCCGTGACATCTTGGGTGGCTACTCAGGTGCTGCTCATCCAATTCAGAGGTGGAACAAAAACTCTAAAAGTAACGGAAGGCCAGCTAACTGGCTAGATCCAGGAATCTGTGACCCTCAACCTTTGAACGAAGACAACTAATCCTATGAAGTGTTGGTTGTTGTTGTGTGTTGTCACCTTGATTCCTTTTCGTAACAACCCTGTATGTGTGAGTAGAAGTGCCCATAGGGTTTCCTAGGCTGTGTTCTTTACGGGGCAGTGCTGGGGGCGCAGTGCCTGAGGCACCTGACTGCTGACCAGAAGGCTGGCGGTTCAAACCCACCAGCCACTCCTCAGAAGGAAGGGTGGGCAATCTACTTCCGTAGTGATACTGCCTCGGAAACCCAAGGAGGGGTCACTGTGAGTCGGGACGGCAGTGGGTTTTTATTCTTTGTGGGAGCAGATTGCCAGGTCTCTCCTGACAAACAGCTGGTGGGTTCACGTGAAGCCTTTTGGGCTAGCAGCTGAGTGCTTAGCCACTGCGCCACCAGGACACCTATGAAGGGTTCCGCTGTACCCAAATAGCATCGACCAGCACAGCCTTTTTTGGCTGCAACAAATGGTATTTTTGTTTAAGTCTGTACCATGCAGTGTGTGTAGCATAAAGATGTTCCAAACATTGCTTGTGACCTATTCATACTAAAAAGTTATTCCTTGTTCATCTGAAATTCGAGTTTAACTGGGCGCCCTGATTTTATCTGGCAGTGTTTCCTGAGGGACACGGAGGTGCCAGGCTGGTGGCCCAGGGGATGCTCCCTTTCTCCCCGTGTTTCTTTAGGCCTGAGGTCTTAGGACAGCTGCATCCAGAGTGGTGTCCTCCTAGGGAGGTCACAGACAGAGCTGCAGGCCCTACAGGTTGGAACGGGCTGAGGAGGGTCTCCCACCGTGCCTCTGGTAACGGCTGTGACTGCTTTCTGAAAAACGCACAGCCCCCAGGCCCGGCCCTGGGTATGGTTTTCTTGGGGGCCGTGGAGAGGTGTGAGGTAACAGCCCTGATCTTTGGGGCCAGTTGGCTGTCCCCAGCTAGCTTCAAAGCAGGAAGACAGAGAGAAGGAGAAGCAGTGGGCGGGGCGTGTTGGTGTTGGCAGGCCGCCCCTGGTTGCTGGGCTGGCGCAGCGGCCGGGCCAGGCTCTGGGGAGAGATCTTAGAGGGGAGGGGCAGGGCCTGATCATGTTGGGGCTGAGCGCTAAGGGGACATGACCTCATCTCGGCAGGTGTCCTGGTGGCAGTCACGTCCCTCTTTCCTTCCTGTCTCCCAAGAATTCCTCCCAGAGACGTCCTTGGGTGCCACGTGGCCCCATGGCACCCCATCCCCTTCCAGTCATGAGCCCCTTCTGCAGACACTTGCTTGCATTCTTGGGGTACAGCGCTGGGGTCCTTGTTCACAGAGCAGGGAGTTCCTCACCTGTTAGATGGGTAGATGGGAGTGCAGAGAAACGCCAGGGTTGCATTGAGCACAGGTAAAGCAGGTGGTGGTGAAGTCCCAGCCTGTCTCTCCACCCCTGCAACCTACAGGGGGACTTCTGCTTTATTTTGCCAGTAACTCAAGTCATTTGGGAAGTGTTTGGCTCAGGAAGTCCCATGGCTCTGCCTCTGTGAGGCGGCTCAGCCCCCACCCTCATGCCTGGCCCTAGCCCTGTGTGTTTGGGGAAGGCAGTGTCCTCGGGGCCAGGCCCTAGGGAAGTGGCCGGTGGTCGGAGAGACCAGCTGAGTCCTGTTCTTCCGAAGTCCCTGGGGGAGGCTCTGCACCTTGCCCCGTACCTGGAGGTGGCCCCGGGAGCCCCAGGCAGGGGAGTTGCCTTGCTGGAGGAGCGGCCTCCACTAGCCTGGAGGGGTGTTGCATGTGAATAAGAAAGATGGCCCCTGTGTGCAGACCTGGCCTGCTCTCGGATGGAGGGTCTGGCAGACAGGAGGTGCCCACTGGGTCAGCCCCCTCTGCCAGGCCCCCTTGTGCAGCGAGCAGCCTGGGCAACTGTACATGGCGGGCCCTGCCTTTCGGGAATCGTTCTGGGTCTTTTTCACCACCAGCCCCCCATTTGATTTCCCGCCCGTTCCAAGTGCTCTTTCTTCGGTTACTCTGGTGCCACAGTGACCAGAAGGTCAGAGGTTTGAACCCACCAGCAGCTCCGAGGGAGAAAGATGAGGCAGTGTGCTGCCGCCAGGGTTCACGGCCTTGGAAACCCAATGGGGCAGTTCTCTGCTGTAGGCTCACTATGAGTCAGAATAACCTGGAGGCATGGGTTTGATTTTTTTGGGGAGGAAGGAAGAGCAGGCTCTTCGGGGCTTGTGGAATGTTTCCGGCTGGAAAGACGAGGAGCCCTTCCGCTGCCTTTTTCCTTTCGAACAGTCTGTCTTCCTCCCGGGGACTTGGGCCATGCCTGGGTAGCCGCACTGCCTTGGTGTGGTGCTGTGTGTGGGACGCCCCAGGCTTGAATCTGGGCTGTGTCCTGGAGGCCTTAGGTGCCAGAGAGAGAAGCGTGGGCGGCCCCAGCCTGCAGGGAGTCCGTCTGAGTTCCTGCCTGGGCGAAGCTGGCGCCTGGTGGTGATGAGCGCAGACCAGCGAGAATTAGCTGCAGCTTTGGGGGGTTTCCAGCCGCAGCTGCTGGGGCAACCAGGCCCCTCCTTCCTGCAGGGGCAGGGACACAGGGGCTGATGGGGAGGATAGGTACCCTAGAATCTGAGAGTTGTGAGGTTTGTTTTTTTTTTACTTTGAGAAATTGTTACAAATGTGAAATTAGTTCAGTTACATCTGCCTTGTCCCTCACCCAGAACCAGCAATTAACCCCCACCTTCTGCATAGCAACTAACTCCCTGCCTCTCCCATCACAGGAACCTTAGGAACTTGGAACTTGGTGTGCTCTTCCCCCCTTCTTTTCCAAACCTATAGATATAGATACACGTAGGGGTGTGTGTGTGTGTGTGTGTGTGTGTGTATGCAGGAGCTCTGGTGGCGCAGTGCCTAAGGCATTTCACTGCTAACCAGAAGGCTGGTGTTCAAACCCACCAGCCACTCCTCGGAAGGAAGGTTGGGCAGTCTACTTCCATAGAGATACTGCCTCGGAAACCCAAGGAGGGGTTGCTATGAGTCTGGTCTGACTCCACGGCAGCGTGTTTGGTTTTTGAATACATATATGTGCCCATGAACAGTAGAAAACATTTTTTAAACTGTTCCCCAAGTGGGGCGAGCTGCTGCCCTGTTGGTTGCGCCCTGAGACCTGCCGTGTTTAGTAGCAGGCCTGACTATGTTTCCTGTTGGCAGTTAGGCGGCTTCCAGGTTTTCTGTTACCAGGGTAGCTGTAAGCCCCGGCCCCTGGCTGGGCGGACCTCTGGCTGTATTAGGCAAGTCTCTCTGGGCCTCAGTTTGCCCGTCTCTAAAACGGGGTGGGGTGTTTGGTGAGGTGAGGAGGCTCTTACCAAACGTGTTTTCCAGGAGTCTGTAGGTCACTCCAGCCTTTCCTGTGCCAACTTGAGCTTGACAGATGGGGTCTGCTAACGGGGAGGGAGAGCAGAGGTTTCCACTCTGGGGGTAGTGTGGGTGCAGGGACC